GACAGACCCTGGCTGGGTGGGGGGTTCAGGACCAAGGCCAGCGCCCGCCGCCAGGACCCCTGGAGCCAGGAGCCAGCACCACGGACAGAAGACGCCCCGCCAGGACCTTGCCGGCTGGCCAGCCCCACACCCCAATCTACGAGGGGAGCTGGCAGGAGAGAAAAGACACAGGCCACGCGCCAGTCCCATAAAATTAAATGCTTTTTAGTGTTTAAAATAGCATTTACACAGAAGCAGCTCTATTAACTATCCAGACGACCTCTGACTCGATACAGTATCTACACCGCAGACGCGATACAGTATCCACATTGCAGACACGTGCAGGCCAGTTCACTGGGAGGAAGCGCGTGTGGGGGGGAGGGGAGGAAGGGGTCACCTGAGGTCAGCAGGAGGGCGGGCTGGCCCCTCTCCCCAGACCTGTCCCTGCAGCAGCTGAGCATCCGTGGGCCACAGTCCACTCCTCCCGCTGCTGAGATGTTCCCCTGCCGTCTCCCCCTCACTGGCCCCCCCACTTTCAGACACTCCGTGTCTCCGTGTTCACTCTGAGACCCGGCGGTGGGGGGACGTACAGCTCTGCTCCAGCTGGTGCGCGGCTGACCTGGCCACCACCTCCCACAGGGCTCAGGCCAAGAAATAAATAAATAAATTACACCCCGACCCAGGCAGCCAGGGAGGTCTGGGGGCTCCCGTCCACCCCCAACATGGCCCCCCAGTCTGAGCAAGAGGCGTAGGGCCTGCACACTGGGTGACCATAGCGACCAGGCCCAGCAGCCACCTCTCAGCTTGGCCTGGGGACCTGGATGCAGTGCTGTGGGCAAACGGGGGTCCCTGAGGCCCACCCACCGGGCAGGTCAGATCCGCCTGAGCACAGAGGCCCCCTGGGTCCGCATGGACACAGCTGCTCAGACCAGGGACAGACGGGCTGCTGAGGCCAAATAAGGGGGCTCGGGCCACGCGCCCCCCAGCCCTCCAGCCTGCCCCCACTCTGTCCAGCCCAGACCCACAGCACGGCCCCTGGTGCACGTGGAAAGCTGCCTGACCCCTGACGGCCACAGCTAAGGCGAGGCCACACAAGCTCCAGATGCAGCGCCTCCTGGGGGACAGCAGGACCCCCGTGCCCCCACCGCAAGGCCGCTCGGAGGAAGGCATCCTGTCCTCGGTCACATGATGTCGACGAAGAACTCGCAGGGGTTCCCCATGGCCTTCTGGAAGGACTGGCGGCTGCCTGTCAGCTCTGGGGGGACAGCGGCCAGCTCCCGGACGGGGGGCCCCCCAGGCGGCCCGCCCACCACCGAGTACGCCTTTGTCAGGGG